TCGCCGACGTATGCCCAAGACAGGATTCTCTCAACGCCTCCTCAAGCTGATTACATTTGGCGAATCATTGTCATGTTTGGCGCTTTACCCGCGGCTTTGACCTACTACTGGCGTATGAAGATGCCTGAAACTGCCCGCTACACTGCTTTAGTTGCCAAGAACATTAAGAAAGCCACACAAGACATGTCCAAGGTCTTACAAGTGGATATTGAGGTTGAAGAAAGGGCGGAGGACCCCAAACTAAACTATGGCTTGTTCTCCAAGGAATTCCTTAGACGCCATGGGCTTCATCTCCTTGGGACTACCTCCACTTGGTTTTTGCTTGACATCGCCTTCTACAGCCAAAACTTGTTCCAAAAGGATATTTTCTCGGCCATTGGATGGATCCCAAAGGCAGCCACTATGAACGCCATCCATGAGGTTTTCAAGATTGCTAAGGCTCAGACTCTCATTGCCCTTTGCAGTACAGTCCCAGGTTACTGGTTCACGGTTGCTTTTATTGATATCATTGGAAGGTTTGCGATCCAACTAATGGGATTCTTTTTCATGACGGTCTTTATGTTCGCCATTGCCTTCCCATACAACCACTGGATTTTACCAGATAATCGTATCGGATTCGTGATTATGTACTCACTCACATTTTTCTTCGCCAACTTTGGACCCAATGCAACCACTTTCATTGTCCCAGCTGAAATCTTTCCGGCCAGGCTTAGATCTACGTGCCATGGAATATCAGCCGCGACAGGTAAGGCTGGAGCTATCGTTGGAGCCTTCGGGTTCCTATATGCTGCTCAGCCACAGGATAAGACCAAGACAGACGCAGGATACCCACCGGGCATCGGAGTCAAGAACTCACTGATCATGCTTGGTGTCATTAACTTTGTTGGTATGCTCTTCACCTTCCTCGTCCCTGAGCCCAAAGGCAAGTCCCTTGAAGAACTCTCCGGCGAGGCTGAGGTTGATAAATGATTATGCCGTGATATATTTGTCATTGGTTTTGTGCATTCTTACCTTTTACGTTTTTTTTTTGCGATGAGTGAATTATATTTGCAATGGTGTACTACTTCTACTTTTGCTTTTTGTTTTAATGTGTGTGCAACCTGTTAAGAAGTAAACTCATGTTATGTTCATAACTGTGAAATTCTAGCCGCTTAACACGGCCCATGAATACACATGAAATAATAGCTATCTTTATATATATAAATCTCTATATTATTTTCACCTTTTTAAAACCCAACAATATATCCAACGTCTGTAGATTATTATTCATTGGTAAAAAAATTTCAAGTGGAATTAGGCCATATAGAACTAGATTTAACAATCTAACCAACTATGTATAATGCTATAAGTTTGGAAGCAATAAAGACATGAACAATCAAACGAAAAATATGCTTATTGGAAAGTTTGACATGAATGATATAAGGGCTAGCGGATGTAATTTTAGGGATCAATATCACTGTTGAGGGAGTTATTGGGCCTTAGAGATACAAGGCCCAACCTGAGGAAGGAAGCCCGTCAATGAAGCGGGCCGCAGCCTAAAGGCAGTAAAGCCCAGACGATCTCACCGCCATACGGATCCGCCACGTCATCACACCCAAGGGTAAAATCGGTAAAAGTTGTCAGAGTATGCCCTACTCTGCGGGGCTATAAAAGCAGGACGTCTAGTCCTGTCACATCCATCGAAAATCACGCTGACACGGCAAGAACACGAAGAGCTCGGCAAGGACACGAAGAACTCGGCTAGAATACGAAGAACGATCTCAATCTTAAAGAAGAGAAGCGACCACGAAATCTCGTTTAGCTCGAAATACGACCCACAGTTCGTC